ACCGGCCTACTTGAGTAATTTCCCGCTACCCCAAGGGTCGCGGGGCCGCTAACTCCGCCACTTGAGTGTTCCCCTGGCTGCAACCCTCAATGCCACGACACAGGTAAGTACCGTCCCTTACGGGCCCATCCAGCAAGCAAGCACCCAACCGGGTCACACACACACTCAAGCACTCAGACAAGCATGCAGGCCATAAGCAAGCACGCACTCAGACCCCACAACAAGCGGAAAACTCAGTAAGGCATGCATTCCACGAGCAGAACTCAGAAATCGGCTGTACGTTTCAGTCCGTGTGATGACGGGTTATTACACTACCCCCCCCTCAAGAGCGAGGTCCCTTCGAGCGAGAAACTCATTCGGAGTCATGAACAAATGCGTCATAAGCAAAGAGAGCAAACAGGTTTCTGGTATACTCAGTCGCAGTTAATGCTGCTGAGAGTTTAGGTGAATCGTTAGCAGCAATCTGTCGTTCATATGCTTTTACTACAAGCGGTGCGCTGCGCAGCAATTCCTGCTTAGAAATCCAGTAGAAATCATCCAACGGGTGGTACAAAAAGTGAACTTGATACTGTCGGTTCCGTCCTTTCCCCACATGCTGTTTGATTCTGTCAATTTCGTGTCCGCCTTTGATTGGGCGGGGAATCATCTCTTCCCTGTATGGAAATGTCTTGGCATGACGATGGAGGTACAGTTTTGATGCGTGGAATACGGGATATGTGCGCAGATGTGCTGGCACATCGATGACGTACGAAGGCCCAAAGTGGTCCTTACCGATCACATCTAGAACTTCCCACGGACCGTAATAGAGAGGGAGAAGTTTGCGAGACACTCCCTCCTCTTCTGAGAATTCAGACATCTTGACCCATACATAGCTGCCTACCGTGATATCTGATGGTAGGCGCCTTTTGTTAGCATGATGGATCATGGCGTGCTGTTGCTTAGTCATGGCTGCAACAGCAATCTTGAGCAAGCGATCGTACTTGGCCCTGAAGCCAGGTCTGCCAGGCGTTAAGCCAGCCGGTTGTTCGGGAAACAGGTAGGAGAGCGGATTCCGTATCTGCCAGCCGTAATGCAACCTGTTGGGGGCCATGCCGGTGGCGGAATAGATGGAGTTGTTGTATAGCCCTTTAACGGAATACAGCTCTTCATCCCATGTTTCTTGATCGGGAATGATCAAGGCACGGAGGAGTCCAATCCGTTAGCTTCGGGGTGCCGGCCAGATGTCATGCACAGTGTGATACCTTGTTGAGATGTGAAGTCCTTCCATTCGGCACTAATGAAGCGCGGATCCCGATCGCTAATAATAGTTTTCGGGGCTCCGAACTGCAATATGTACTTCTGTTGGAACTTACGAATTACAAGGTCTGTGGGGGCGTGAGATGGCAAGGGAATCACATTGAGAAATTTAGAGAACCTGTCAACAATTACCATGACTTGTGAGTAACCACGCTTACTAACCTTTCCCATATCCGTGAAGTTGACGGAGATAGACTCTCCGGGGCCATCCGGTATGGGCAACGGTGTGAGCAGCCCCATGGGCTTTTGCCTGCATGGCTTGATCCGTTGACAGACTTGACATTCAGCGACAAATTTCTCAACAGTCCGTTTCATACCAGGCCAATCAAACTGTCGCAGCAGATTTGCATACGTCTTCGCAACGCCGAAGTGTCCGCTGTGCCCATGAGCCAGATCTAAGAAGTGAGTGCGGAGTGGCTCATGGTTAGGCAAAATCAACCCCTCATGCTCATGGAAGTCGGGCTGACTGCTAGGATCAGCCCGCACCCGCTCAAGGATGGTGCTAAGCTCAGAATCCTTGGCGGTGTGCTCTACAAGCTCCTCCTTCAGTTTCGTCCGGAGGTCGTAGGATTTCACTAGGCAAGTCATGTGCTCAGGGTGGCGAGACAAGGCATCCGCAACTCGATTGTAACAACCCTTTTTGTGCTTCAATTCGAAGTCGAAGATATCAATCTCATGAAACCAGCGCAGTAAGGTAGGGGACAAAGTGGATTGCTGTTTGATCCACTTCAAGGTCTCATGATCTGAGAAAACCTTGAAGTGGCGTCCCAAAAGATAGTGTTTCCAGTGATCCAATGTCATACGCAACGCATAAAGCTCGCGCATGTAAGTGGATGTGGCTACCTTTTCGCTGGGCATGCGTTTGCTGTAAAATTTGAGTGGCCGCAAGCCATCGCCGTCATCTTGCTGCAGCACTGCGCCAATCCCATACTGGCTTGCATCCGTAGTGACAACAAAGGTCAGTTTGGGATCTGCAATGCGGAGCACCGGATAACTTACCAGGGCTTCCTTGAGTGCTTGAAAAGCCTGCGAGCATGCGTCGTCCCAAGAGTAAGAGACATTCTTGCTGGTCAATCGGGACAAAGGACGTGCGATGATAGAGAAACGAGGGACAAACTTACGGTAGTATGAAGCCAAACCAAGGAAAGAACGCAGCTCGCTCACGTTAGTGGGTTGAGGCCAATTGCGTATGACCTCAACCTTGGTCGCCTCAGGCTCTAAGCCTGCAGCAGACGACCGATGCCCAAGATAGATGACGCTGTCCCTTCCAAACTCGGATTTCTCCAAGTTGAGATGGAGCTGCGACTTCTTGAGGATCGTCAACACTTCCTCAAGATGTTTGCGGTGCTCTTCCATGGACTTGCTGAAGATCAGAATGTCGTCTAGATAGACCACCACGAAGCGGCCAATCTGTTCGCGGAGGATTTTGTCCATGAGACATTGGAAAGTTGCTGGTGCGTTCGTGAGGCCGAAGGGCATTACGGTAAATTTGTAAAGCCCGTCGCGCGTCTTGAACGCTGTCTTGTGCTGGTCCGCAGGATCGACTTCAATCTGGTGGTAACCAGACTTGAGGTCGATCTTGGAGAAGACCTTGCACCCTCCAGCAGCATCAAGCAGTTCATCTATGCGAGGCAAAGGATAAGCGTTCTTTCTTGTGATGCGGTTTAGACCGCGGTAGTCAATGCACATGCAGAGTTTGCCTCCCTTCTTCGGTACGAACAAAACAGGAGCACCAAATTCAGATTCACTTGGTTTTATCCACCCTTTGTCAATCATCTCATCAATTTGACGATGGAGTTCCTCCAACTCTCCCGGTCCCATGCGATACACACAACCCTTAGGAGGAACAGCACCCTCGATCAATTCGATGGTATGTCGGACCGGTCGCGTGGGAACTCCACGTGGCTCGGCCAGCACTTCCGGGAACCGATCGAGTAGACGCTAGATGTCCGGTGGGACCGGAGGGGGTGGGGGGTCAGCAAAGGGGTCTCCTAGATCTGGTCTCAGGTTACCAAAAGAAATCCCAGAATCTGAAGTAGAGTCACTAAGACTAGAGGTGCTAGGATCAATATTACAAGAAGTGGCATTACTAGACGAGGTAGTAGTATTATTTACCGCAAAAGTAGTAGGCACATGGGTAGGACGAACAAAGGCAACATACAACTGTTCTTCCTCCTTGTGCCTGCGCCATTTCTTGCATAACTGCATATTATTCAAAAAAATCACTTGGGGTTCGTGCTTCTCATCCAAGAGGACGGGACGCTCGATCCCCTGAGCATCTTTGACCATGAAAAGTGACTCCTTCCACTTGGTCCACTCGCATTGGGACTGCAGCCAGCCCAAGCCAAGGACTGCGTCGAAGGGACACTTGTCAAGGACATAGAAGTTCAACGCGTGGGTGACGGTCTTGTCCTTGTCAAAGGTGCAGCGCACACCTTTGACCGCATGCGTCGAATAGACAACTTCTTTGTTGCCCACTTGAGTCCGACAAGGGATCTGCAATGCCACTTGCTTCATCCCGAAGCCCACCTTGCGTATCCCATGTGGAGACATGAAGTTAGTCGTAGCGCCACAATCAATCAACACACGGAGATAGTGGTGGTTAATGCGGAGCTTGAAGAAAATCAACTTCACCGCCCCTTGAGCACGCTGCTGTTTCATGCCAGCCCAGTGCTCTAAGTGGTAATGGAAGTCAATTGACTCAGACTCCTCCCAAGGCTCGACATACAAGACATTACAACTCTCAACCTTGATCACAGCGGACGTTTGGGCTTCAAGGGATGACTGCTGATCATTAGACGCAGGTTCCCCTGATGTAGAGGGTGCTGCAGTGGCCTCTAAGCCCGACTCTGGTTTCCCTGCAGCTTAAAGCAGTCTTGGACTTTGTGGTTGGCTTTCTGGCAATGCAGGCAAACCCCCTTCTTGAGCCTACCCTTCCATTCGTTCTCAGTGATCCGGAGGTCTAGCCATGGCTTAGTGGCTGCATCCTCCGGTTTGGCTGGGACTTTGGCTCCTTAGGGAAGTAGGACAAAACTCTTCCCGTTAAACCGATTGTTCCCCTTCCCTGAGGCTGGCTTTTTAAAGGCATTCATTTTCTCTTCAACTTGATTCATATCAGACTCATGGGCTGATGAGTAGGCTGTATCAGTGTCCTGTCCTTGGTCGTCACCAAGGGTGGGGTCATCCGCTTCGGCCGCCTCATCCGCCTCCTGCAGGTCATGCACAGCAAGGCGGTTGCTGCCTTTGAACCGCCTGCCACCCATCGGTTTCCTGCTGCCTGCAGTGGTAGCGAGGTCCATAGCCTCAAGACTGACTATGTCTTGCATTAAGGCAAACCAGTCAGTGTAACCAATGAAGTCTTTGCCTAGGCGGATTAGTAAAGGTGTTGGGAACAGCACCCCGGACCACATCTAAACAAGACTGTGCAGTCAATTCCAACCCAGGTGTGGCAAACAGCTTGCTTAGGTAGGTTGCAGGTTTTTCATGGTGCCCGTCCACTTGCTATGCTTGACCTTGTCAAGCTGGCTTCTTGCCCTTTGTGCAGTGTGTGGATCATTATACTGTTTGATGAGGAGGTTCTCAATGGTGCTCACAGGTGTGGCTTCAAGCCAACTTGTGAGTTCCAGCTTGGAGACCCCATCACGTGTGGCCTGGACCTCTAAGTGGCCCCTGACGACCGGCCCGACGTTCATCCCTAGGATCACGGACTGGGTTTCCTTTGAGGTCCCCAGCACCTTGAAATAAGCTCTCATGGAGCTGATCCAGGACTCAACATCCTCTTTGCCGTCGTACTTAGACGGCATCGGTACCACCTTCCGGTCCACGTAGTGACTAGTGAAGTTGGGGTCAGCGTTTGCTGGTCTCGTACTTGGGGCTGCAGCACTTACAGAGTTCCCAGCCGTACTGCTTGTCGAGACAGCAGCGGGATCTGTACCTGCTGCAGGTCCCGAAGAAGATACCTGCAGATTGGAAGAAGTAGAGGAAAGGGTATGAGAGGCAGACATAGTTTGCAGCGCAGCACTGGACCCGGGAGGTAGGGGAAGAGGGGTGATCACTTGGGACTGTCGTATGTCAGCAATTTGCAATGTTAAGTCACGATACTTGCTGGTCATATCAGTCAGGTCGTCTTGAAGCTTCTTCATTTGTTTGAAGACTTCAGCGATCTGATTGGTATGATCCTCAAGTTTTCTGACGTCAGTCAAAGCAGAAAGAATGTTCTTCAGTTGCTCCAAACACTGTTCCCTAGTTAGTGAGGAGACAGTTTCCAAAATGGCCTCACAATTTTTCAGCAGCCCCTCCTTCCTCTCTTTTTCTTCCTCCTGTTCTCTCTTTACAGCAGCATCTAGCAGCGCTTGCAGATGCGGTTTATCGGCCTCGCTGGCTGCAGCTAGCATGGCCCGCCATTGTGCAGAAGTTAGCAGAACCATAATTGGAGCGTCAGTGTGGGCAGGTGGTGCAGCGAGACGCAAAGCAACAAAAGAATCGATCAAGCTCTCAAGTTGTGTGTGCTCTCCTTTTTCCGGACCCAACCCACTTCAAACGCTCACTCTCCTCCTCTCCCTTTTCTCTCTCTCTTCTCTCTCTCTCCTCTTTCTTCCTGCGCATCTCAACGGGCATCGGGAATACGGTCAGACAATTGAAAAGCTCAGAGAAGTGAAGATGGTTTCATTTAGACCTCAGAGAAAACAAACCAAACAAAAGAGCATTTATAGCACAAGAGAGTTCTGATCCAGCGACTCAGTCTGATCGGACTGCATACAGGATCCCCCTGAGTCCAGTCCGACCAGCGCCGTGTCCGTACAGCAAATCAGACAGCGAGCAAAGACATGCAACAATGGAGAATTGAGCGGTGTACAGGGTGCGAGTCAAGCTACGGACAGTGTAACCAAAAGACATGCGAAGCATCAAAACTGAGATCCCCTCAGCAGCGCGAGTCCTAATCCAAAAGAGAAACGGAATTCAAGTCAGAGGAGCAACCATCTTGGGTCTAGGGGTTCTCCTTGTTTGGGCCCGGTCCCACTGGAACTCAGAGGTTTCCACGTAGGTCGTGACCAAGTCCCAATCAAGAAGAGTACCACCTAGCCCTACCCAATCTTACTGAACTTGAAAACGGAATTTCAGTTCCCAGCAGAACCTACAGGCTACAACCGTTCAGAGATGAAAGACAAAGCACTGTAGAAAGAATCAGGAACCAAAGCAAGATACTTCATTTCTCATCCATCAGGTCAGTAGCCAGTTCACATACAGTTGATCGCACAGCCAAGACCATAGAGGAGTAGGAAAAGAAACCGAGAATAACCCCAGCAGGACAATCAATACCATGCATTCATACAAATGGGCATCCCTGTAGGTGCACGACACTTACCTGAGTGGCCTGAGCTTCGAGATGAATAGTACTCACCCCCCTCTCATATGATCCTCCTGACCCATCTAACGCTACCCCTACACTAGTGTCCTATCACCTAGGAGGGTCTGACTCCAACACCCAAGTGCAACGCCGGATCCCCCGTCGATGCTGAAGACCAATGTAGCAACTTGCAGTCTTGTAGATGCAGAATGGCCACTGCTCCTCAAGTTCGCCTTACTTGAGGGCAGCCCTTAAGTCGCCAAGTGTCTCCCTTAACTCGGAGTCCAGGTGCGAGTGCCTCTCACTGTCGCCTCTCCCAATTGCCGCATGACGTCAACTCACCGTGTCTCGCCACCCCAATCTCACTCTCAAACGACCTGGTCAAGGTCAGTGTTGACCCTGCACGACCCAGCCAGGTGGGGGCAGCCTCCCTTAACCACGCTGCCCCACTTAACCCTAACAATCCAGCCCTAACCCTAAGTGGTGCCCTTAACCACTTAGGGTTGGGTTAGGGCAGCAAAGTCACCTCTCGCCAGCAAGTAGAATCCGCTCCGATACCAATGTTATGACCCGGACCAATTGCGAAGTACGCATTCATCAAATAGCACAATGCCGTCCAATTGCAAAGAGAAATGACTGAACTTGAGAGAGATGGGAGGGTAAGAAGAAGAAGAAGAAGTAAGAAA